TTTAGCCAATTAAAGGACGCTAAATGATTATCGAATTTAATGATACTGAGGAACTATTTTAAGTGATAATCAGTGGGATGGAAACATTTTTTTCCAAGTGGAGTATAAAATCAATCATTCGTACAGCTAGTTAGATTTAAGACACAGACTCTAATGCTTACACAATACCTCAGAGAAAGTGTGCATTTTCAATTTAGGCCGTATTAATAAATGAAGAAATACACTACTTTTCTCAGTGCAGTCTCATTCATAATTCATTTGGATTATTGCATTTATTTTGCATAGCGTGGATTTTAGAGAGTGTTCGCTTATCAGGAAAGAGTGATTTCAGTGCCGTAGTGGTGTTTGAGGTTACTAAGTAGTGACAAATGTCAATTTGTTTCAAGCCCTTGGTGTCTGACCAGTTCTGTCGATAAAGTTATAATATGGTTACTGGTTTAAATGACTCGACCTTGAGTGCACTATGTTTTGATAATAGGTGGTCGATGGCGAAATTGCTAACGGAAAACGTCTTGGACTTTGACGGTGAGTGACGCGAGTGTCGGTTTCAAAGAGATTGCTGGCACACCTTACTGATGGGTGCCAAGAAGTATGAAATCGAGGAAGCGAAACTTTATACTGATTATGAATAAAATAGAATTCACATATCAACACCAAGACAAGTCCTAATTTACTGGATTCTGATTACTTGTAGTAGTAAATTTTAGATATCCTAATAGGTCATGTATGCTAAAGTTTAACTGCGTTTTGGATTAGCAAAAAAAGCCCATAGGCACCTCACAATTGGGCAAGGTTTTTAATCTTTCAACTGATAACTGATATTTCTGGGTTTTATTGTCTAAGGTGTGATTTTTGGTGAATACACTGAAACGTACACCTTATCCTATCTGTATGTTAATTTAAAATCAAAGCAACAGATCGAAGTACTTGATAACTGGCATTTTTTTGTATTATGTAGAAGTTCAGCGGAAAACATCTTTAGACATTACTTCTCAACCGTAAACAAAACTATCAAATCTTAGAATTACAGATATTTTAAATAGCCTAGTAAATATTTCAATATGTAGTCCGGTTTTACCGATTTTGACAGTTGTTATTGTCGGTAAGTTTTGGTGTGATCAGGCCTTTTTTATTAAAGACCTTAAATGTATACTGCATACTAAGGTGTATAAGTCAGTTTTGGACTGTAATTGTAGTTTTGTAAGTAATCATTTACTGTTTGCCATTATTTGCACATAGAAAATTAAAATTAATAGACAGAAGAAAATAATTCAGTTACACAGAGAGTGGCATAAATTTATATCAGTTTAAATTGTACATTTTCAGTGCTGCCTCTGAAAATTGACAAAAATAAATTATCAGGATCCAAAAAAGGAATGAAAGTGTTATTTCAGTAGTATGGACTGAAAGGTAAAAGTCATAGTTACAAATGGACCACTGAATAGAGAAAGAAAGAGAGTTTAGATTGAAAGGATATAAACCATATTAAATAACAAACAATCTTCAACTGGTAATTTACACTTTAACTGATTCTCATTAGGAAGGTTATGTTGTCATGAAGTCAGTGACTTCTTGAAATAATTGCCTATCATTAATTATTAGTAAATAAAATCATATATTCATTGACATAACACACTGAGATGAATACTAGCAAAACAAAGAACAAAATATAATTTATTATGAACCATCAGAAAATGAGATGAAACGTAGTTTAATGTGAAACCAGTTTTCTTCTCAATTTAATATTAGCTAGTGAACATATAGAACCCAGTTGGTATTCTACTTTAATTCTTGTTTGATTTTCACTGTTAATAAACAAATTTTTATTGTTGAAAATTAATCTAACTGAATCATATTCATTTAAAGTAAACACCAATAATAAATAATGAACTTTAATTCTTTTGTTATGGTGTATAGAAATTCTTTATTAGCCAAAAAAGTATTTTAACAAAAAAAACAAAATAATTAATTATGTCAGAAATTTATTATTATTTATTTGTTTTGAATATTGTTGGTAGTAGTTCACGTGGAAAAAAAGGGAGAAAACAAAATTACATTTTACAATTCCTGAATTAGACGAAGGCTTACTCCTGTTTTTTTGTTTTTTCAATACATATCATTCTGTGTTCATGTATAATGTGAAAAATACAATTTACTACTGGTTAATATATTATTTCATAAAAGGTGAATAGGTCATATTTATATAATTGTGGAACAAAATACACTTGTGAATCGTATCTGTCAGTATTTTCATTATGTTTATTGATTTTGTGTTGAATATGAATGATTATAATACGTGAATATTTGATATATATATATATATATATATATATATATATATATATTACGAGGAAATTCTGTAATATCAGTCTTGAGTGCTGTTAGAGGTGTGAGGGCGGTTATCACTTCCCGGTTGCTCACACCGTGGGAGGGTTCTTCTGAAGGTACCTGGAGAGGAAATCGGATTAGAGGTGGTCTTAGTGACCTGAGAGCGTGACCACAGTGTCCAAGGGACAACTGTTTGAGGTCGGTCACACACGACCTTTTTATGGGTAGTTTTTGTGTTAGCTCCGTAGTTGTTCAGACCTTACCGCCGGAGACGGATATCTGTGGGATAAGGCGAGGTGTGCATTTTTAAGCCCAACCTTTTCTAACCCCACCCCTTTTTGTGGGAAGGCGGCATCGCTGTCATGCTGGTTATCTGAAGGAAACACTTTACTGCTGTCATACCTCTGTACAGTCAGCAGTACGACTTCGCCTTCGGACCTTGGGTTTTCTGCTTTTAGTCTTACCGCTCTTCAACCGACCTTTCTGACATGGTAGGATCTACAGAAACATATGTTCCAGCCAGTATAGCTCGGTTGCTTCATCACGATAGGCAAGCCCGACCACCACGTCAAGTTGGTAACAACGGTCGGGCATCATCATTGTACATTATCCATTACATTTTATTTAGCGAATTGTTCTCGTCAATGTTTTTTTTCCTTTTTCAGTGAATAGCTTTCTTATATTAATGCACCTGTGTAAAAAAGCTTGTGATACTGTTTGAGATATTGAAAAGGTGGATTGTTGTATTTTGTGTTATTCAATAAATAAAACATTGGTGATTTTATAGGTTTAAATTTTATCTCTATCGAATTTTTAGGTTACTATAACTGGAAATTTCTAAATTGGATTTGAATAAGTAATTAGTGGTTTCTGTTTATTGTTGTTTCTTTAAACAAAGTTTTTTTTACGAGAGCTACATTTATCTTACATTTATCTTATCAAACAGTAAATAATCAGTGAAAATAAAAATAAAATGATCGAAAAATAAGGATCCAGTATGTAGAATATATACATTAAAATGTTATTTAGTAACTGATTGTAGGAAAATAAAAGTGAATACATTTTCAGTGATTATATACACTACTTATATGGGTTAGATGCCTTTCTTTAAGCATATATTGAATGATTAAGTTAGCTTAGATGAATCTCTACATGTTAAATGAAACAATTTTACTGTGTATATCAAACTTATATGTGGAATGTTTTGGAAGTAAATGAAGAAAGTAAACTATGCTGGTGTATGTACTTCTACATAAAAGAAAATGATTGCTTAATGGTCTAGTGATATTAGCATAACACGTTTTTTAAAAGTAAGATTCATTTTGTATTGGTTGTTTGAATCTTCTGATTGATGCTTAGGACTGCAACTGATCGGTCTCTTTTGGCATATGTGCATTCTGTGCAGATTGTCTCAATATATCCCAAGTCACAAGCATTATAAACAGAGATAGGTGGTGGCTGGCATTAGAATCCAGGTCTCAGGATGTAGCTATATCCACTTGACGAGTTCCAAATAGGATGAAATCCTCATCCTAGATTCCACTGCTAGCCACCATCTATCTCTACTTATTCTGTTAGGTAGTTTTAGATTTTCGATGTTTTCCCAACAGAATGAGATTTTATTTTATCCAGTGTCTATCTTAAGATCTGCAGTGTATCAAATTTCGTCGTTAACTGCTATTATCCGGGAAACCTTGGCTGATGGATTCTGTTAAATCGTAAAATTACCTTGGGTTATATATATATATATATATATATATATATATATATATATATATATATATATATATATATATATATATATATATAACTTGTGAACATGTGACTGCACGACCCTTTATCTAGTAAGTGATAGGTTGAGCTCATGTCATTATAGTTTTTGATTATTTACTGTTGAGAGTTATGGTTTTTTTTAGGATACCTAAAAATTATTTAACATAATATCTGAACACTTGAGATCTAAATTTTGTTTGTAGTTATTACAATCTAAGATCGGACTATTATTAAATATTCATAAACACAAATTCTCAAAGGTCTCACAATTTATTTAATGTATCACCATTTAGAGTTATCAAGCAAAGTGAATAAATACGGTCTAAATACAAAATCAATGTAAAAAATCCATAGAAGGGGGAAATTTGAGAGTTGGTATGGTTATTCACTGAATCTTCCCAACTCATAATAATGTCCTGTGTGTATAAGAGCCACGTTTGAAGTCAATTAGATAACAATGATGGAATACAATAGATGAATGTAACTGTCTCAGTTTTGTCTGACATAAAACCATGGTTAACAAATTGCAACAAAATGAAACTCCCTATCAAGTTTGTTTTATTTCTGCTTAACTATGATGAGAGCGATCCACTACCTCGTTGGGTAAGTTGACTGTTACTATATATTCAATAAAGATAAGATCACTTATCTTTTTCCTTAACAAGCAACATTAGTCTAAAAAAATAACAAATAAGAATTGGAATACGTAGGAGTACATTAGATCACGCGCTGACACAGTTTAACGATAAGTACCGATTATTCGCAATCAATAAATGTCTATTTATTAAATCTATATGAATATAACGTAAATCAATTAATTGATAATGGTAATATATTTAAATTAATTTACATGAATTGTTTGAGGAGACCAATTATCCGCTTATTTATAAATTTTTCAGTACAATGAATAATTCATTTTCATCTTATCGATATTATCCACCGGTAGAGTTTACACCGACAACTCCACCAACAACTTTAGCTAAATGTAAAAATTCTAATGAACAGTCTAACGATCAGAGAGTACAGAATGATTCCCAATTTAACTATTATACTAGAGATTTAAGAACTGATTTAAATACTGAATGTACGTCGAGCACATGTGAACCATTGAATACTATATGTACTGAAACGCAATTCATACAAAATACACCTAACAATACATCACAACAAACAAGTAATACAGTTATGAAGAAGAATTTACAAAACAATAATACTATTAGTGATATTGACACTCCAATATTTCATGGAAGACAACATAGTATGCCCATATTTATGCCATCTTATACAACATTTGATGATAATACACCAAATAAAATAGACAACGAAATATCAACAGACACAGAGAATTCACATGGATCTAAAGAAATTAATCGACTTACATTAATTGATAAATCATCTAGACCGGTTGCAACTAGTATGATGAGTAATCCTACAATTGATACAGGGACAGGTATAAAAAAAGCAAGTACAACAACATCAAATCCAAATTCGTTAAACTTAGTTATCGATATTCATTTACATGGTGTTGGTTTATCTGATAATCGTATGACACAAAGTTGTATACAAGAGAAAGATTATGATCGATCAGCAGATGATAAGCTACTGAGTAAAACAAACTATAGTAAATGTTCAATGGATGAGCTTTTAACAAATATGGATTTTTGTACACTGAGATGTAAACCGCATAGAGCTATTTCATTAATTGATCAACAAAATTCATCTTCACAATCCTCTTCATATGAATTAAATACTGGTGAAAGTCGATTAAGCCAAAGATTGAATAAGTTGTAAGTTGGAAAGAAACTAGCTATATATGCATGAAGTAGCCTGAAAGAATGCTTACCCCCCTTTGCGTTGCATGAGGTAGTTTTTTGCATTCGAATGCGATATGATAATTTACATTCTTGTTTTAATTAAAAAAACTTTGTACAATGTCAGTCAGGGCTGTGTTACAAATTTGAAGAATGTTTCTACCAGAAGTAAGTTTAAATAAACAATCAACATTTAGTTCCAAATAAATGATGTTTCTTTATGCTTTATAAACCAGAAATCAAATAGTCCTGATGAATTAAGCTAAATCAGGCTTGTATAGACCAGTCAAATGATAACATCCAAACTAAACAACTATCCTGTGACTCCTCGTTCTCAACATATGTCTAACTAAGATCATTTCTTTATGGAAACCATAGGACAAAATTCAATAAATCGTTTGTTAAAAGCAACCCATGCACTTTTAACTTATTTTCTCCACCCGGAGCATGTGGTCTAATTATTATTTAACAGTATTTCTAGTAGGCACAATCTTTTTCAGCTTTAAAGGATATAGATAAACAAGGTTGAAATTACGGTTTTTGCAAATTTATGGCAAATTACTTTTCTTCACTGATTTATGGAGCTATGATGACCATAATATTTAACTTGATATTTGAATATGAGTCGATCAAAGCTTTAGTTTAGATAAATAATCCGTCTAATCTGGAAATATTCCCACAATTTTCAGTGATCCATCCATTCAAAATAAAAACACTTTTAATGTGTCAGTGTTAATATGTAGTTTTTATTGTAATATCTAGCACTTAAATGAACAGTCTATAGTTATCAAATTAATAAAGATCCAGTTTTAATGTATAGGAGTGTATTTTAATCACTGCTAAGCTGTGACAATTTTATAGCGGTGGTAAACCAGAATGAAAAGGTACGAAAATGTGGAGAATCGAATTTGGCGATAAACAAAACCGATCAATTGTTGTTATTTATGCAAGTTTCCGTCCATGAGTTTTAAACATTTGAACGAATGCATTTTAAAGTTTGCAGCACTTTTAAGAACCAGATCAACAATCGATAATTTTAAAACTGTTAACCATTCATGCTTTAGTCACGTTTAAATATTTCATAATATAGGTTTTTATTGGTCAGTATTACAAGTTTCTGTAAGAGTTTATTTGACTTTCCATCGTTTAGGTAGAATCTCACAGCCAGATAAGTAGCATATAAAATTAAAATTCTTTCAGATAAAATACGGCTTTAACGAACTGTTAATATAATTTTACGTTCCGTCACATGAGAATTGGTGATATAGAAAAAAATTATTGGGAAGCATTGTAGCTACTTATATTCTATTTGAATTGAATATCTTATTTCAGACAAATATAACTTTAGTTTGTTGAAATGATTCAGAAAATTTTTATTTGAGTTTTTACATGTATTTCGAAATGTCAGACCTCTTACTGTTTTAGAAAATGTCAGTATTATACCAGTAATGTATATGTATTCACGTTAAAACCTTTTATTTGTTTTTTGTTTTGTTTTTTGAACATAAAATATTTTAAACTAAGATATTAAGTTAATTCGATTTTTGTGTCTTGTCATGAATTATTGTTTCTTCATTTTCGTTTGGTCTATTAAGAAATAAGAAAAGAGAAATATGAATTTTAAGCATCTTGTACAAAATTGTAGTTGTAGCACGCATGCATGCCCCGTATATTCATATATCGCATATTTTGTGAATTACAGACTTTCTTAATTAAATATACTACTGTAAAATTGAAATCTTAATGAATTAATCAGACATTTGATTTGTTTTAATTGGATACTTTAACATCTAGGTTTGAATTTAGATAAATAATCAAAACTTATGTAAACAACAGCTTTGTATTTACTTACAGATTTATTAAAAATTTTATTTTACAATAAATATACAATATGCACATGTATTTGTAATAGAAACAAGTCGAAAACATTCATTCATTAATGTGTAAATTATTTTGTTCAACCTTCAATTAAGTTATTTTCAAAGAAAAAAAAGTACAGTACGAAAGTGAATTTTATAAATTAACACTGAAAAATAGTTTGAATGAGAATGTTAACTATTTTTGATAGAGTTTTGTTCTTTGAGCTGGATGGTTTGGTCGTGGAGCTTTCATCGTTCTTCTGAATGACATCCTCAGCACATACTTCGGGTAGAAGTGAAGTGTTCGATAATGTCATTCATAAGAACGATGAAAGCTTCACGACCAAAACATCTAGCTCAGAGAAAAAAACTCCATCAAGATCATCCACCTGAGCTACAAATCTCCACAATCTCGAAGTGTAAACTATCTTGTTTTTTCTACAATAATATGCCTTATCGATATTTTCAGTGAATAAAACTTTAAAACAGAATTGCTTGATGTAAATACATTTAACTTCTCCTATAATCTAAGTATCTGCTATCATTGTATATTAAACTATTTCAACTGTACAAAGTATAGATTTTTCAGGGAAATTTTAATAATATAATGGTGAGTAATTGAAGCATAATACATTACAGAAAATTAGTTTTACGGTACTCAATGATAACCTTTTTGCTTAACCAGTTATTTGGCTGTCAAAAATACATTTCATAAATAAATTGTCATATATTAATATTTAGATAAATAATGAGTAATTTGAAGACTGCATGATTTTATTGAAATGAGACGACTTAGCACTAACATTATCTTTATACATACATACTAATGTAATTTAGAAATTGCCTGCATTTTGCTACTATTTAGACCATGGAATAAACACAATGATTATGCAAACAGAATAAATTCGGCCGATACAAAATCGGATAATGCAAACGAAAACAAAATGAAATGTTCAATTGATACAAACGGTTGGGAACCACACATACATAACCATAATTATAATATTAAATCAGACGACATTAAATCACGTATAAGAAATCAACATCATCAGTTGTATAATCACCATCATCAACATTGTAGAGGATATGATCGGTCGATATATACGGATCAAACGAATGGGATATGTGTTGATGATTTACGTATTCGTCGAACACCAATGCCTGTTCACAGACAGTTGGTAAATAATTCGCAAGGTTAGTTCTATACTTTGCTTGATAAAAAATGTAATTGATAACAGCAGAGTTCTCAGTTAACTTATTTATAAGAGTAACAATTATATCCCTGTTCGAAGACTATGGAGAAATTTTTGATTATTCAAACCCTAAATACGTTCTAATTATGACTAAAAATATTCACTAAATGTCTAATTTAACATAATTTCGTCACTAGAGCAAGCGATGTTTAATTATTCATTAAGAAGCTTGTTTATTCATTATTATGTATCAGTTCTAGATGTTTGGAAGAGATTAATAGGAAATTTATATTTAAGAAAACTTAACAGCTTAAGATAAAATTGCCGGAGATCATAATTATGTTGACAAAAACAACTCAAACCAGGAGGTACTGCATAACCGTTTTAATCCTAGTATTGTGGTCATTAGTTGTCCCTGCCCACAACGTCATCCTAACTCAAGATCTTTCATTGCGTATGATACTACTATGTCATCTATACAACGCTCTGTGGTTCATATCTTGTGGTTTCAGTCATTTTCTAATAAAAGGTTATCGTCATCCAGTTTTATCGGAGAGTAATCTCCTTCCTCTCAACTAATCGGATTTAAAACTTAAGTGTTTACCACTGAGCAATGTTGTTGGTGGATGAAGCACCTATTTGATGTTAATAATTTTCCAATAGTCCTTATTTGCTGTCAGTTTGCTAATAGGTTATACAAAAATCTATATGGTTCCCCTTAGAAATAGCGTAATTGCTTTTCATTACAGGTGAGTCGTCTGTACTTAGTCTGAGGGTTTTCTTCAATTTATAAGCTGGTTAAAACTCAAAGGTTAACTTTCAAAATACCTATTGAACTACTGATATTCGTTCACCCCTTAAAATCATTCAATCAGATACACAACTGAACACTTTTGAGGTAAAAGCACATATTTGATGGTTTGAAATATTTTCACATCAGTTTTAAATAAATACGAAAGACAAAATAAAACACTTATCATTAATGGAAAAGAATAAATGGTTTTTTTTGAAAATGAATCAACACGTAACTATTATTTACTATTTATGCCGATTCAATAGTTGAAAAACACAATAATCTGATTATTAACAAATGGAGTTTGGAGTAGAAAAATTCTCAGACATGTTCAATTCGTCTATTTAGTTATTTTCCTCTTTATGAAATGCTATACACAATATGTCACTGTTAGATTACACAATTTTTAACGATCATTAGTAATTTATTTGATTATGATTAAAGATAACCAATAAATTTCACTCTACAGTTTATGAAATAGTTATTTTTTTTAAACATTTTAATGAAAAAATTCAATTTTATCATCAGAAGGGGTTTTGTGGAGATTTTAGTAATTTAAATAGTTGAAATCATGAATCAATTGAAGCTAGACCACTATGGAAAATGTGGAATCACTAGACGGTCATTTCGTCCTAGTATGGAACTCCTCAGTAGTGCGCATCCACGATCCCGCTCTCCGTGAGATTCGAAACCAGGGCCTATCAGTCTCACACGCAAGCGCTTAACCATTAGACCATTAGGCCGGCTGGCATCCAACGGTGTTAATGTCTAACTTCAGCCACTGTCCATCATTGTCTTCAGTGAGCTGATATCTCAGACTTGGTTGATACCTGATAGATCCTGGGTTCGAATCTCGCAAGGTGGGGTCGCGGATGCGCACTGCTGAGGAGTTCCATACTAGGACGAAATAACCGTCCAGTGATTCCAGGTTTTCCATGGTGGTCTAGCTTCAATCGACTCATGATTTCAACTAGTGAAATTATTTTTTAAAAGAAGAAATATAATGTCAATCTATACTCATTATAAAAGCAAATAATTAATTAATCTAAATTTTAATTATAAAGGTACTTTTATTCTTTTAATTTTAATTTATATGATAATCATATTTTAGTTAACTTTTAGTATACTTTTACAGTGAATCAATAAAAAGAAACAATTTTGATGATAAGGCTTTTAATTTTTCAATTGAAATCAAGATATTCCGTACAATTAATTTAAAGTATTTTATGTGATTAATTTATACAATTTAATGAAATAAATTACTTTGATAAAACCAATTATCTTAATGGTTTCTTCATGCTAGTTTCTATGCTATCTTGATATTGTCTATTAATGATGACTAATGTAATATGATATCTAGATATTGTTATGATCATTTACTGAAGAATATAACAGCTGTTAGTTAATTTTACTTGGTTAAATGTGTTGATATTTGTTTAGGCTTTATTTTTTACTTCATTCTTTACATGAAAGATAATTGTTTTTACTGTTTACAAGTACTAAGAAATGGTTTACTAGGCAGGACACTATCTGATTACTAAATATTTTATTAGTATATATTATTACTCACTATTATATTTGTACAAAAAAGAAATAATTGCACTAATTTTCTACACGGATCATCAGATTATTGATAATCATAGTAATGTAAAACTATTTCGATATCATACATAGTTATAGAATCGGTTGGTTATATTCTTTACCTACCGACTGAAACTCATTTTCATTAGAAAGCAAACGTGACGTAGGATGAAGACCAGTCATTTAAGATAATTCACTTATACTATTTAACAAAGATTTTAAGCTTTTATCTTCTATTTACTAATTAACTTTTACAGGTAATAACTCGAAGTTATCTACTGTCAGTCGATATCCTACAATGCCGAATATAAATAATTCATCGAAAAACGTTGATTATATTGAGTCGAATTCAGGAACATTTTCACAGTCAGTTGATATTCCATTATTGATTCGATTACTTCAATCATCTGATCCAGATGTTGTATCAAATGCAGCTGCTTACTTACAACATTTAGTTTATCGTAATCCAAGTTTAAAAGAGAAAACACGGCAAGTATAATGGTCTTTTTCTTATACTCAGCGGGTGAAAATGTCTTTTTTTATTTTGTGTTTATAATTACTTATTTGCTGGCTGATAAAATACTGCTTTAGTTGAATCATTAATCGACTAATTTAAGTTATTCAGATAGTTTTTAGTTTTCTAAAACATTTTTGAAGGTGCTTTCCATTCCTCACTGGTGTCAGATAATAAAGTTTTATTTATTTCACTTCTTTAAAATGAAGCACAATTCTCAACAATAGTCACCGATTCTGTTGAATACACGGGTCACAGATTAGCACTAGAACTTCGAGTGCGTCATTTTGTCTTGTGAGTTGAAAACTACTTATTTGGTGCTGGAAAAATCTATCGATTGGTCCTTTTAGAAGAGTCTTAGACTACTTTGAAATGGAAATTGTTCATTTCCTAGTTTTTAAAACGTTCTCTATATTCCTTTAAGGTACACCAAATTCCCAAAGATATCTGTTATGACTGTAAGTTAATCGATATATAGAGAAGCGACTTATCAATAAGAGCCCTAGTAATATTCCTTTACCTCAGCATCTACTGTTTCGGCTATCGCTAGCTTTCTAAGCTTTGGTCAGTTTTATGCTCGGACTGGTAAGGTGAACCATGAGTTTGAGATAGAGTATAACCCTAACTTCGATTGGTTCATAACGTATGAACTTCTAGCTTGGCGTAAGCAGCAGTTCTGTAATACTATAGGTATTTCAAGCACTCATTAGCTTACATACATGAGTTATCAGACCATAACGCACCCTAAGTATGAAATCATGCTTAACATACAATTGCGCCGTAAGCGGCAGAGAACGGAACAAATGGTGAATAACTAATTAACAATATTGGTATCAAGATGTCGAGATTACTGAGTTTCGTTGAAATCATGAACTATTCAATGTCAGGCAACAATTAAACCTGAAAGCACTCAACGGCCGTTGTGTTTTATCATGGGACTGCTTAACAGTCTACATCCATGATCCCTCATCACGGAATCGAACCCAGGACCTTCGGTCCTGGACTAGAATATTGAGCCGACATTCCATAATATTAATGTCTAACTCCAGTTAATCTGCGATAATGCGCGACCATCTTAAATTGTCTTTTGTGGAAGGTCATCCACTATGCTAGGCCGTCCAGCCCTTTCAGGTTCTCAATAGTGGTCTAACATTGACCGGTCCATGATTTTAATGTAATTAACCACAAATAGGAATTTATAAATCGTCTAAATGTGGTTGCTAAGCTCAAAGAAAGTTCACAAAACGGGTAACGTAGAAAAAGAATGATCTATTTATCTAATAGTTATACAATAAAAATATAATTGATATGAATCCATGAAATAGTCTCAATTTCTAATGTCGTCAATAATCTACTTTGTAGGAAAGTTTCGAAATGTTTTTAAAACCAAAGGTTTATTGAGATTTTGTGTAATTATACATTTCTATTTCACTTCAGACTGTCTGGTGGTATATCAGCTTTAGTTCAGTTACTCTATTCAGATCACACACGTATTTGCCTTAATGCAGTTGGAGTGTTACGTAATATGACATGCGGGGATACCTTAGCCATAAAAGTAAGTTAACTATAGAAATATTGTTTTTATGAAGACTTTCTTCTTTACATTCAACTGCTAGCTATTTACCACGATTTCTCACTGCGAAAAATAAGTTTAAAATAAATCGTTTGTTACACCAGTTCAACTTATACCTAAACATATGAAATTTGTGTGATAAATAGATAAACGATCGGTTCAGGAATGTCAGAGGTTTGACTAAAAAATAGCAAATATTACGGTTAGCAAACTGTTTTTTCGTATTATAATGTGAATTAATTATTATCGTTTAAAAGATTATATTTTACAGAACATTTATTAAACGATTCTTCATTTGATCAATAAAATAATTTCTCAGCGCTTCAGATTTCTTTTGATTGAAGTGATCTATAGTCGGTTGTCTTTTATTTTTTTGTTTACATTACATGATTGCGTTTATTCACTAACTGTTTATCTTTGAGGAATTAAGCTTTACCATTTCAATAATATGCAATTTTATAATATGGTAATCAATCACATTCATCAGAGATCACCCTGTTGAATTTTGAAATTCTTTTTGAAATGATCTATCTTTTCGCTTATCCTTTATCAAGATGAAAAACGGGTGGAGATAATTTGAAATCTGATAAATGTTTCCAACTTAAAAGATTACACCGAATTGTGTCAGTGCGGAGATTGTATCTAAAAAAACCCTTCTTGGTTAAAAAAATGTTTACTCGTTTCATATCACCAGATAACCAATAATGTTTGTAGTTAAATAATAGACAACTAATCAGGCTTCATATATTCAATATGTATCAATATGATAACAAGAAATGATCCTGTGCAACAAAATATTACGAATTATATACTGATGGAGTTTACTCCTAACTGGGTAAATTTTGTAGTCACAGTGATTTTCATGTTCAAGGTTTCTTGTTGACTTTTTTTGGCCACCTAACATTGAACATATTGTAGATATTTGTAGGTGAACCAACTATTGTTCGACAGAATGTTTGACGTTTTAAACAAGATGTTGTTGGTGAAACTGGTGAACTGGGCATGCACATGCATATATATATATACCTATTCATTGCTTTTTTTCCTATCGAGCCTGGATATTTATTTTAGTAAAAAAACTATCTTCTAACCAGATTTATTACCAAAGATTTTTAATTGAAATTGATTCATCAAGATTATTGGTTAGGAAACAAAGGCGAATAAAATTAAATAAAGAAATACGATTATTCGGTTCTTAGGAAATATAAACACAAGTTGAACAGAAAGTTACACTACTTGTTGGTGTTGACATTAACCCAGACAGTAGCAAATGTTTAATTTTGTCCTAAGAAATGAATAATATGTGATATTACCATTTACTGCTGTTTAACAATTAAACAGCCAAATAGTAATAGTAACAATAATAGTAATAATGGGAATATTTTAGGAAATATATCAGTTTATATCATTTTTGTATTATTTCACTGCACGATTATTTTCATCATTTCATCATATATTTTAACGGTGGTTAGTGATCATTAATAAAACTATGTTGTTACGTGTTTTTCTTTTCATAAATAAAAGGCTCAAGAAAATTATATGTATATTGTAGGAATTTAAGTAGTACTGAAGACTAGATAATTTCTGCATAAGGTTTCATGAAAGATATGACTAAATATGGAAATTCTTTTTAAACATTTGTGACTAAACTATGAATGAATGAGGTGAATTCGAGGTTTGGAGTGGCATAGAAGGTTACTTACACTACATAATTCAATGAGCTTCTTAGTTGGGGGGTCTAAAGCACCTCTGAAATGAAGTGATATTAGTGGTTAAATGACAAAAGTTGCCACACTTTTTATAAAAATGAATAATACTGGGGAAAAATGGTGAGTGTGCTTCTTCAAGACTGGTTTTCTGAAATGATAAAAAGCTCGAATTTTAATTTCAGTATCTTTTGAATGAGAAACATTTATAGTCAGGAACTACGCAAAAGCATGAAGCAACAGCTGAGTGGTTTATTCCCTTCGAATGCTATTAAGCATACAAGTAATATCTGTTAAGAGTGAACTCACAAGTCTTCAACCCTTTATCAAGAAAGGTATTTAAAACCCACTTTCAAAAGGTATTCAATTATGGGGATGAAATAAGAGGAATCAATAAATTTGAAAATAAAAATAAATGAACTTCGAACGTAAGTATTTAAAAATACAGTGTTGTTGATAAGGAGCAATAAAAATTTCAAATTTTAATTCGACACTGATTTTGTTTGGCTGTTACATAGGATTTCTAGGAGAAAACAATTATAGTCATATGTTGAGTAGTTTTTCTTCACGTATCACTCTCTTCACCTCTGTACACTTTCATTCATACATACATAAATACATACCAATAGCCCCACTTAATGTACAATCTCTTTGTAACCACAGTCTTCACTGAGATATCCGCTATAGCAGCTGATATACGGACAGAAATTGAATTACAGTCTTCAATTTCAGCACCATAAAGATCAAAAGCCTTACAAATAGATATTGCTTTGAGCGTCTGCCGATTTTGGTTAAACAACTATTAATGACCATGAAGTACCGGACAGCTGTTATACGGACCAATGAAAACTATGGAAATTCAATAGCCTTTACAAAACCCCCGTTCTAATAATAAGTTGTTCAATAGTGACTTACTCAAAGAGATAATTACGAGAGTCCTTGTGAAGGACGTGATTAGTAGACTTCAATCATATCGGGTATGATAAAGTTATCTGCCACAGGTACAATGTTGTTGAAACCATTGAATGACTGACGTCAGACAACGGTGGTCTAACATCAATCGGTTCTTGATCTCGATAAAGAAACACTCAGTATCTAGTATTTATATAAAGCATTTTCTATACGTATATGAGTTCAATGCAAATATTTCTTTACGACAACCAATTTAATTAATTAGAATGAAGTTAGACATTAACACCGTTGGATGCCAGACGGCCTAGTGCTCTAATGGTTAAGCGCTCGCGCGCGAGACTACTAGGTCCTGGGTTCGAGGCTCACGGAGGGCGGGATCGTGGATGCGCACTAGTGAGGAGTCCCATACCAGGACGAAATGACCGTCCAGTGATTCCAGGTTTTGCATGATGATCTAGCTTCAATCGATTCATGATTTCAACTATTTAAATTACTAAAATCTCCACAAAACCCCTTCTGATAATGACTTAATTGAATAGGAATTATTTTTTGTAATTTCAATCATTGCTTACAACATTTATCTTATGCACAATTTGTTATTTTACATGATTATTTAATTAGTTTTAACGAATAACAATGTAAAATGAACTATTTTTTCTAAAGGAATAGAGAGATGGATTTTCCCTTTTGAAATTTGATTTTTTTCATAATAATTAATTAAATCACTAAATATAATTTGTAGTACTGGAAGTTCAGATAAAAAAACGGGTGACTACACTAACCATTATATGTATATTTTCGGAAATGGAATGGACTTAAATATTAAAAATAAGTCAGAATTAATATCAGACTAGTTAGTCATTAAAAATACGCTTTTTTTAATGATATAGACTGAGTTTAAGATCTCTTTAATTCCGAACGATAAGCCACATGGATTATCTAAAAAATATTTTTAAAGGTATTGTATTCTCTGAGCTGAATGGTTTGGTCATGATGTTTACATTGTATTTCTATACAAGATTATCATACACTGCATAAAGAAGTGAGTTATTAGAACTTTTTCACAGTTAACTCACATCTTTTTCTGTTGACCTACAGTTCGATTGGTTGTTGTTCATATTTGTATACCGATTGTTGATATAGTTCTTGTGATTATTTTGTTAGAATATTATAGGCAATCAGTTACGTTCCAGGTCAACAGGATATATTGTTAGTTAATTGTGGAAAAATTCTAATACCTCACTTCTTTATGAAGTACGGGCTGATAACGTTATACAGGAAGGCAGTGAAAGCTCATGACTAAAGCATCCAAATCAAAGAACCCAATACTTAAGGATTATCTATCTGAGCTACTACCTCATTATTTAAACGTGTTACCTTACAAAGTCCTTCATTAGAAATTTATTTACTTCATATCATTGAAGTAGATAATAGTTAATCTTAAGAAGATAAAATGACGAATTAACCCTACAACGTTTACAAATAATGATAGACATTTATTTCTGTCCTGCTTTCAAAAACATGTTTATTTTAATAAGTAAAATGACAGTGGTTTATCGTTTCAAATTGATCGTTCTTAAAAGCTATATGCGTTGAAAATTGTTTCAATCATTAATTAATATAAGCGCTGTATAAGTAATAATTGAACAATATACGGTACAAAAGGGATACCGGTATCATAAAAAGTGGTTTATCTTGTTTTCTAAAATAACATCGTTTGGAATGAATGGTTATAAATGGATCATAGTATGTTGTTGGTAATATCAAACATAGATTTTGTGCTTTGGTAATCTCGTTCACCGTTAGATGGAATGTAAGGACAGACAAAGACTAGTCAGAAACATAATCATTAGAAAGAACTGGTTTAATGCTTGTGGAATAGGCAAAAACGAGTCACTATTTGAATTAGACGTTGATGGTGTTGTTCAGAAGGACAGTGAAATATTCACGAAAACATTTTTTAGCTTAGAGAACGCAGATTCTCCAAAATCATCCTATGAGGCAACAAATTTTCTCTCTCATTTTAAATTGGTATCAGTGTGCAAAATCTAGTGATCTACGTTTCTTAAATAAAGTCAATTAATAATAGTTTACTTATCATTCAATTACATTTGTGGATAAGCATCTAAACTCTTAACTAAACTGATACAACAGGTTACAACGTTCTATTGAAACCTTTCATTACACATAATGTTTCTATTTCACGTGTAAAGTTTCCATGCTAATACAAAATAGTTATTCGTTACTTCTTAATTTGTGATGGTTTTTTCACTGATGGAAACAACTTTTTGAGATCGCATGATTGTATGTACCGACTGATTTGATTTTATTCCACTTTAAAATGTAGAAAGAATTGGAACGAGTTGGTGGTATACGTGCATTAGCTTGGTTAATTGAAAACCGTCAAGTCTATGGATCAACCACAGATTCATTCAAAGATTTAAATTATGGAATGTCCAGTAATTCAAGTCATTGTCATTTGAATGGCACTGAATACGATGATCTACATCAGGCTGTTAAGTCAATTTTAGAGAATGCCGCTTCTGTTCTATGTAATTTAGCATCAGTAAGTTGGTTAAAACGAAGTGTTTTACAAGAAGCATTAATTCCAAGTTTGTTGAATGTTATTATTGTGCCAGCAGCAACAGAAACATCTATCTATGCATCAAAAGATAACGGAGCTCAGTCAATTATTAATAGTATTCTGTTTCGTATTGTTACATCCCTGATACGGTGAGTATTCAGTTCTTTAGATTTAAACATGAATATATGCATAAAGTTTACTTTTCTCAATCACTTTATTTAAAATATGATAATCTTTAATGATCGATTAGAAGTTTGTTTGATTTATGGGTTAAATTAACCCAGTATAAATCATTGTACATTTTTAAAAAATATCCCAATAATTTACACTGTTTTCGTTTTTTATCACATCTAATAGAAATATAAGCAGTTCTGAAGATGATGATGTCAGAGAAAAAATGCGTCAGTGCCCTCAACTTGCAACTAGTCTTTTCAGTATATTACGTTATGCAGTAGAACATCAATTATACGATAAGCGATCAATAGAACATTGTGTTTGCACGATTCGTAATTTATGCTATGGTTTGCAACAGAGACAACAGATACAACAATCACCATCTCAATCTTCTGTTACATCGTCAAGTCAAGACAGTAAATTTCAAGCGAAATCACGCAATGGTTCATTATTAAGAATTAAATCAACCAGTCTTGTAAGCGGTAAAAAGTCAAAGGGATTGACAGAAATCGAAAGTAAATAAAAAAGTTTGAGTACTTTGTTATGTTTATTATGGTCTCAAAATAAATGCTGAACATAAAATGTAATTTGTACGATAATTGTTTAGTAGGTAGCAACAGACGTCGAATAATTGTGAACTAAGTACAGTTTGATTTTCATTTAGTGTCCGGTTTCTAGGTTTTAGTTGTGTAACATTAAATGAAAAGATGAGTTTTCATTATTCGGTTGAGAAACATTGTCTCGTTAAAATTAGATTACTTTATAAATATGCAAGCACAAGTATATGAATTTCTGCGAGTATTTATTTGTCCCACCTATTCAAGATCGGTGTATAGAACGACCTTGGAAATATTGTGCATTGTTGTGTTTTTTATTTCTCACAGCCCTTCTTTAAATACGTACTAGTCAAGCGAAACCATTATTTGGATACTTTTCGACATATATTCAAGAGTCCTAACTACCTTATGCTTTGTATAAAGCCCGGTATTCTAAAAATTCAGAGAATTAAATTTTCTTAATCGTTTTTTGGATTTACTGTTAAATTTAACTGTTTATCAGTGGCTGTCGGATGTAAAGTTTAATGTCGGACAATGAATGCCTTTGATGTTGTTCGTAGTAACGTAGTTAAAATGTAGGCTATATGTTTATGTTAGTACTGAATTGAACTAACAACTAGATGAAGGTATTAATTACTTAAAAATTGGCGTCGATAATTGTAGAACTGACTAATATGATTCTTGTAGCATTATAATTTTATGTTAGAAGAAACAGTAACAGAATTGACGTCCAGTTTTGGCACCATCGGTTCATGAACTTCATTATTTTATCCATAATTCTTTGACATTTTTGTTGTTAACTCTCAATGATTCACCAATTTACGAAACGTTTAAGCGAAATACTTGAACTAGAGGTATTGTTCTGGATCTTTAGTCGTTGGAGTTTTATCATTTCAAGTGAGTGAACACATTCATGAGATCTGCGTAAATAAATGACATTTACCAGAATGCAGCGATTTGTTTGTTATACTCTGACTTTTTGATTTCCCTTTTTATATTCTGGTTTATGATTTCATCTTCATTATTTTCTGAACAAGTTATCATAATTTTTCAGAGGAGTATGTATTTGTAATTTCGTTTGAAACAATATTTAAAATACCTAATGACTTAGTTTTATTTCGCGTAAAATTGAAATAACAAAGCAATCATAAACTGAAACATGTATAATCTTGTGATTTATGTCTATCATCTTCAAGTACGTATAAATACGCTTCTATTTTTTCTAAAAAAAAACTACGCAGACAGTTGAATGTCCTGATTTTTTATACACAACAATGTGACAACTGCTAAAATACATCTTCACACCGATTGTTCATGTATAGTTGCTGTACAAATATATAGTCAATTTTAATTTCGTACATAAAAGTTTACTATTAATAAGTAGTATAAATAGCAAAGTTGTTTTTGTAAATGTCAATTTTCTGTTCATCCTAGTCCTTTCTTTGTTAATACTATTTAGTTGTGCATTGATAATGGATCTTTATGTTAAGATGTTTTTGATATTTGTTAATGAATAATAATAATAATAAATGTCTTGAACCACTAATTAATTTAGCTGAGAAAACCTTTAACTTGATGCGTAATTTTATTATTGTGATCTCTACATTTTCTTAAATCGTTAAACTATCAATGGATTTCATCTTTCACTACACGTTAATAGTATACAGTGGAAACGTTTTACAATGCTTATTCTGTTATGCATTTATCCTTCATAAAAATGTCAGCTTGAATTTTTAAAAGAACGATTTTATGTTCTCGATATTTTGTGTTACAACACAATAAAATTTTTATTTATCAAGGTGATTAATTGGCACTTTTAGTGTTTATAATATTCTTTAAAAGGATGAAGCTTGGCATTCACAATGTATATGTATATACATATCTGTTTATTTATTATATTGATAGTACTGGTGCATATTTTTGTCGGATTGACTGCTTTAGTATATTTTGGCTGAAACAACATAAATTACTTCGAATAGGTTGAGGTGTATAAGGGAAACTCTATAATCTGAAAACCACAAATCGGTGTTTTGGTCACTGAACAGGATGATCTAAATGTAAAGCTTTTACAAAAGCCTCATTCTGAGGCTTGGAAATGGTAATTACCATGAACTAACTTAAGCCATTAGAAATCAAGAATCACTAGGCTGCTCTTTCATCTTACTCTTAACTCTCCAGAATTTTATCTAACCACAGTCATTACAGATAATTCTACATATTATATTTTGGATTCATTTTACTTTACACAACTGATTGAAATAGTGAAATATTGTAATTTTAATTTCTTTACAGCGAACCCTGAATCATTAAATAAATCAACTAATCACTCGAAAACCGAAAATATCCCTTCACCATATGGAGATATAGATTCAGTAAGAACATTGATCTATTTAATACAATATAGTTCAAATCCGTATACGCTGGAAGCTGCTGCTGGTTCACTACAAAATTTAACTGCAGGGCATGGAAGTTCAAGTGAACAGATACGAGAAATTGTATGTTGCTTTTCATCAAACGTTTTATAAATTAATCTGTTATTTTGTTTTGAGGAAGAATAATTTAACAAGAATATTTTTATCCCTGAGTGGAAATTAAAAATGTCGTTTGAGTTTAGAGATTGATATTACGTGGTTAGATTTAGGCAGCAGAATTCTATTTCGTAGGATGTTGTAAGTAAATAAATAAAATCTGTGGATGTTTTCAGTTGAACTTTTCAGACTTTCGTAAAATGCTATTCACCTTTGTTTGATATATTCTAGTAATCTCAATTAAAAAGTCAAAAAATATTTTCAACTAATAAATTTTATGGGATTACTGTTGAAATGCCTTTGAAAATTTTTATTTTATTTCACTAATTTTGTTGAACTACTTTAAGTAGCATAAATGAAACATACAAATTTTCATAATTGCTTCAGCACTTCAGAATTTGATTTTACAATTATTTGAACAATTTTTTCCTAAAAATATTCGTTTAATAAAATTTACAATTTGTGCGCAGTAAGTCATCATAACACGTACTATCAAAAGCTAGATTTTTCCTCATCAAAAACCTTCATTTAGTATATATCAATGTTCTTATGTTTGTCAAGCTGGAAGTTCATCTGTAATCAACGGCAATCAATCGAAATCTTAGTTTCGCTCAAATTTTCCCTGAATGGTGTAATTAATGTTTAAAGTTAACGGACTCATTAATAAAAAGGTATTCTTTTATGTGATTTTTATTCGCGGAGTCATCAAAGTCCCTTTGTAGTTACTGGAAACCTTAAAGAATGATTGGTTTCATCCAATGTAACATATACACTCTACTACTTAATAAATCCCGATTCAACCAAGATGTACCACCAAATTACCTTAAAAAATGGACATCAAATATTGTGCAATATTGATGAGGCATTGAATTTACATTGACCTATTTGGTTGCGACATGTATTACACATGCCCAACCATTACCTTCTACAATTCCACCGACTTCCTTTAGACAATAAACCATTAGTCATTTATATCATTAAGTGTCTTTCTGAATGATAGAAAAATATTGTCAATGGTAATATTTTACTGTATTTTATGCCAAAATTTGTTACCAGTTTCAATAAATGTCAAAAACATTGTAATTTTCCAAGTGAAAATAGTTAATAAATACTACAGAGTCAAGGTTACAAATTATTCGTTTGATTCATTGAAATTGAAAAAGTAATTATTTTAGGTTGTGATGTTCATCACTTGGCTTACTCATTTATTACCTCTGATGAATTTAACCAGTTTCAATATTGAAATATTTTACTTGAATTTAACATAATGACAAAAAGTATTTTAACATTCAATGTTTTTTTTCTTAAAGAGACATCAATAAGATATAAGGATTTTATTTGACGTCTATGATCATCAAAGTGATAGTTGATTGATTGAAGGATTAGTGTAAAATGTATGGCTTGTGACAAAAATCTTAAAAAAAAAGAGTAGGCATGATTCATAATGCTCTGATAACTGCATCAGTAATACATTGTCATCTACCGAGAAAATTGTTAACCAAATTAGATGGATAAACTAAGCGGAAATATATTTGTGATTTTGCTTAAAATTAGTACTAAAAAAGAAACAGTTAGAAAATAAAGAAAATTCTTACAATATTGCATCAATTCATATTCAATTTGGTGTTACGCTTATCATAGACATTTAATTGTTGGTTTAGTAAGGACTACAAACCTAGGTTATGAATTCACTATTATCAATAAACGTTTAACTGCATTGGAACTTTTACATTTTGTTGATGAATTATCAAGATATTTTATTGAGCTAACTGACTATGAGATAAAAGTTTGAATAGGTTGTTTGTAATGCTACTCATGATAACTATATAAATAAAGACAATTAATCTCTTTTAATATTACAACTATATCTTGTGATGATTGATTGTAACAGTGAACTGTGTATTCAAAGTAATCTATTGATTCACTTTTACTCATCTACAAAACTTATACTTGACTTTAATTATTCACTCGATTTAATTCTAATGATTGAAAGTGTTCTGGGATTATTGTGTTGATTTCAAACTATCGGAATTAGAGCATAAAACTGGGCATCGTCTACAACGAATCAAACAACGCAATATATATTTCATACAAGCATGATTTCATTTCTTCCGTTCTTTTTTTCTCCACTGTTAAACTTGCTCTTTTTTAAGAATATGTTTTGAGTATTTGAATAATTCCTACTACTTCTATTTTTCTTCCTTTTTAAATCATATTTCTTGACTTAGCCAACCGAATTTTTCTCTTTCCCATTTATTGTATTCATCTTTCATGTATTTTATAGTAATAAACAAAATTTGAAAATCAACCAAAAGATAATTTCGTTTTATTTTCACAAACAAATAATCAAGCAGGATAAATGTAAATGCTTCCTTGAATTCTTCATTAGGTTTAAATTAAAGTTGTTAAAATGTATCTGTACTCCTTGTTTGTGTATATGTAAGTTTATTCTGTCATGATCTGCATTTTTTTGTAATACGATGTTTGCAGATAAATTCATTTTTGTATTGGTCGTTTGAATCTTCCCATTGACGTTTAAGACTACGATTGACCAGTCTCTTATTGGCGTTTATGCATCCTGTACAGACTGCCTTGATATTTCCATAAGTCAACTTTGGGATACAGGTGACGAGTCAAAATAGAACGAAAAGGTAGTCCCAGATTCGACTGTAAACAACCATCCATCCTTGCTTAGGATGCCGTAGATGTTTTAATCGAAATCTCTGACTAAAAATTAAAACAAAATCATTTCGTATTTTTAAGAATAACAATGAAATTTATAATGTCTATCACTAGTTAACTGAAGGAAACAATCAAAGAAAAAGCAAACGTTATTTCTAAAGAGCTTAACTCACTTGTTTTTAATTAAGTGGTAATTTCTGCAATGAATTAGCAACTTCTGAAGACACAATGAACCGAAAAAGCTAGTACTGACTTGTTATCTCATCCCAGTTTAAAACGTTTTATCATTAGATATTCACAACCTATCATATTGAATTGAGGTTAGGACTAGATCTTGTCATGTTGTTTCGAAATGTCTGAATATTAAGACTGCAAAATAAAGGCGTGAAATGTGGGTCACTCAATGTTAACTCATAGGAATACATATATTTGATCCACTTGTAAGCCATATCAAATCACATGTCACGAAACATGTACTACAAATCGACAAAGGTTATCAGCAATCAAATAAAAGAATTATATTTTGGCTTTCAGTGACAATATACTGTAATTGACTCTATACTTTGAAAGCATGCTTTAGGTACAGAGGTATTTGTGTATATTTAAAAACATTAACATATTTTCATTTAACATACCATTATAGGTTACATGGTCTTATCATCTGCTAAATTATAAATATAAATTAAGTGTAATATAAGTTCTATTCTATTTGAAGTGATGATTATCAAACCAATTCGAAATGAACAAAAGAAAACCAACTCAGCATTAATAATATTAAATAAATTTCAATTTTAAAGAATATCATTAAATTTTTCGTGAAACTATTAACTTCATTTGCTTGTTTTGTTTTATTTTATGATTCAAATTTCTTGTTTTATTGTTTGACATGACAGAAATTCACGACATTTAACATTCATTGTGATTATGTCACTTTATAAATGTGATGATAATGATTTAATTTCCCTTAATTGATTACTCTGACCTTATTTTAGTAAGTGCTAAGTTTTTTTAGATTTAGATAGAAACATAAGTATGAAATAAGAGATAACAGAAACTACCCTTATTTAAAATTATTTTAACGGTATATATATAACCTAGTTTTACATGATTAGTTGATTATTTTCCGGTCACATTATTCTAATAATAATTTCAACAGAGTTATATCATAACTGACAATGAAATCTGCTGAACAAATTTTGTTATATTCACAACTCATCAGCTCAATATATCTGAATCCCATTGTTGATGTTCATGTTGAAACTCGAACCTGATTTTTTTCTCTGCGGTTTGACTTTCAATTATTTGGTAGTAATGTGCTTATCACAAACCCTAAAACTTCTTGGATTTGATCCAATCTGTAAGGCAATATATATATATATATCTAAGAATTCTAACACTACCAGAGTGAACCATCTATTTAGTACTGTCTATTTTTTTTTTAATGATGAAGTGTGAACTACCATCAAAGTGCAATTTTCTTTATTTCAAAAATATTTCCTTTTATTTAAAAGGACAAAACAATTTCTTTATATTAACTAAGTTTTTAAAACAGAATTTAAAGGAAATACACTGATGTTATTTCACGGATATTCTATCATTCGAATAAATAAGAAGATAATTGTATGGAAAATAAGTAAGGTCAACAAATGGAAATTTTTTATGTTTTAGAAATAAAACAATAAATGAAATGAATCAGTATAAAAGACAAGAGTTTGAACATGTTAGATGATAGATGGAAGAAAATTTATGTAATCATGTTAATATTATATGCAGGTCATTTAAAAGATTTAGGTTAAAGTAATTATCATAATAAAGACTATAATAACAATGTTGTTAAACAATATGAAAGCTTATGACAATAGAAGTAATAGGAAGTTACTAGGGAGCTTATATAAAATATTATATTTCATCATCTTTATAAACGGCTGATGAGGATTACTTATTAAATAAGGAGATTAGATCACATTCCCTTGATATTTATAGGCTCACGAAGTTGTGAAGCCAGAATGTTCTATCTGTTGATTATTTTGAAAGCGTTCAACATGTCGATATGTTGTTCTATATTTTTGATAAACGTGACGTAACACGGCTGACATTGAAACGACTGTGGGATTTTTTCTTCTGAATAAACATTTTCTGAGTTCGACCATAAATATCCAAAGAATAGTGGTTAGTCTATGATTTATCGAAATGTCTTTAAACATGTTCATGTACACACCTTTTTATTGTCCAAAACATATAAAGATATAGCATGCCGCGAAATTATCTCTGGCTACAACCACCTTAGAACCTTGTATTTGAACTTGTAATTCATGATAACTAGTGCATATTGTTATTATAAAGGTAATCACTTAATAGATTATTGGCTTTTACATCCATGTTAAGGCAATAATAACTGATGTTATTATTTTTAAATTATTAGTAATTAATTTATGTTATCATGTGTAGCCTATATATATGTATATATCATACAAGAGAGATAATTATCATGCTTTGTATTTTCACACAAACTAGACACTAATCGGAGCAGTCAAGATAAATACCTTGGTGTAACTACATAAGGAATGCATTGATTTGCTGATAATTATCATTCAGATAACAAGTTTACCAAGTTATTTAACACTAACTCATTGTATATCAATTTCTTCATTATTTTTGGTAATTTTTAGATTCGTTTAAATCATGGACTTCCATTACTTGTAGAATTGTTAAATAATTCAATGCGTAATGTTGTTGCAACTGCAGCTAATGCATTACGTAATTCTGCATTAGATCCAATTAGTTGTAGTCTACTTGGTAAATATGCATTAAATCGTATTATACAAGCATTAGATCAACATTCATGTGGAATTGCATTAAATCTACATTCTAATGAGTATAAAACACACTTAAACAAACTAAATACAATGAATAATAATCATAATAATAACAATTATTATAACAATAATTCTGAATGGCAAATACCAATACAAACATCAAATGTAATGAATAAATCAGTATGTTTAACAAATCATGAATATACACAATTTGGCGAAGAGAATAAATCTAATATACAGAAACAATGTACAACTGCCCTATTAAGTTTATGTTGTGTTATAATACATAAAAAATTGGAAAATGCCAGGTAAGATGATTTGAGAGTTCTACTGATTGAAAAATATTATCAATAATTTTATGATATTTACTAAATAACATAAACTACTGGGGAAATCACTAGGGATTTAATAATGCTCAACTATGGTACTGAATTATTTTTCTCGATAAATGGTACTTTATGTTAACTTGACACCTACTCAAATATTTGTATACTGGAGGCTATGGGTTACATGTATTATGTAAGTGGCAATCAATACCAAATTACTGCTTAAAACTTCAGTAGATAGAGTTTGTCTCAAACATATAACAAACTGATTGAAAGTTCGACGTCTGAAAAAAATTAGTAACATTATTTTATTTGTAAGGGATTATCATTTGTTTGTATTTTTCATGCAGTGATATTAAAGATTTCAACTAATCAGTTTTAGTTGGTATATGTGTATGTTGAGTATATTCCATATGTATTGTCATTTAATTATAATTTCTTATTAGACTCGGATAAAGACTAGCAGTAAAATCCAAGGAGGGCGTTTCATTTTATATGGAACTCATCAGTTGGATGTTTCTTGGGATAAGTTCATGAAGTTGCTGACCGTTTGACTGAACCATATAGATGGATGCAGATTACCTGGTTAGGGTCAGGACGATTATCGTAATCAATGGTTAAGGACCTTGGACGATATGGTTCAAAATCATTCAAAATGGTTCAGGTGTATTCAGTTTTCGTCTTCCCCCAGATCCTCAGTCCTGAAATATACTTATCCTGTTTTTTCCTAATTCTATGTCTGATCCTTTCTACTACTTATGATACTATTACTACTTCCACACTCTGGGATTTGTCTTGATAATTTTATCTTGCTATGCTAATGTGGTATGGTAACCCGAACCATTGCACATTGGCACTAGATTGTAATTTGCATATAACTAACTAACTGACTGACTGACTAACGTAACTTGGTTATAAAACAATTAAAGCTGACATTATCTTTTGGATAACATGGTGATAAGTAGCGGACCTACAATTAAATGATTTTAACTTGTTAGTAATCGTGAGAATCTGGTTTAATAAATATTCCATTTCAGAGACACTAAAAAACTATTATCAAAGCAAATATCCAATTTATCATTGTCTCTGAATTATCCACTCTGATTCACATGATTATCGCATAGTTTTGCAATTAATTCATAAATTTTATTATCCAGCAATATCAACAAATTTCAACATTGCTATCTTTCTATTTGTTAAGAGTTCCACTTAATAGACCTAATATTATTGTTTAGTAAAAAAAGAGTTTGAAGTTACTCTAAAATTAATCACCAGTTAATTATATAAATGAACCTTTGTTAACTGGAGGAAAGAGAGAGAGGGAGAAAAGACATACATAACATAACTACAAACACTGTTTTTGATATTAGAACTGAATAATTACCGAAATATGCGTAGTTTGTTTATTTTTTTTATTTTACTGTGAAATTCTGTAATTGATAAGGAAGAGAGAATTGATCGTTTCATTAAAAAGACTATTTTGTTTCCAACAGTCGCTATTGTATTCTTGTTTACTTTTCAATTACAACCCTTTACACTCAACAAAAAAATTGTTGTGCACAATTATATGTATTTATGCCACTTTCTAATTATTTCATTTACTTTATTCAACTTCTTACAGACGTTTTGTTACACTAGGAGGAGTTGAGAAATGTCAAGAATTATTAAAAATTTGCCTTAATAATGGTCATTTAATAAGATTTAATTGTACTGAACAATTAGTCAATGAAGATAAAACTACTCAAACTGTTATTAAACTTATACGTCAACTATTGTTTATGTTATGGGAATTTTCTGAATTGCGTCCAATTTATAAATTGGTAAGTTTCAAATTATTTTTGATATTTTAATAAATTGTGATAATATTTGTATAGGTTTGTTTTTGGCTTTTTATTGATGTTGAAGATTGCAACTATTCAGTCTTTTTTGGTACATGTTCATTCCGAGAAGATCATCTTGATATTTTCATTTAGTCACAAGTTATTACGAAAGCTAGATTGTGGCTGATCGTGGAATCCATACCAAATCTCATCATTTCCTCACGTTTTTTAAACAAATAATAGCTACCGACAGATGGTTGACTTGAAAAAACATTCATAAACTTAAGTTAGAAAATGGGTTGAGTGAGATATACAAAAGATGAGAGACACCAAATAACGAATATTACATTGAGTCGATGGAGTCAGACAATGTTATTGAAACGCAGTGTTTTTGAAAACAGAATGTAGATTATTTAATTGGAATCTAAATTTCTTCGATAATCTAGAGGATTTTTGAGTAAAATCGTTTCTGTGGAATGTTTACTACTCAGCAGATTAAAAAGAATGGCTAGTCATTACTTTTTTTGTTTTTAATTTCACTAATATTCTTTTATTTGTATTTACTCAATTTCTATTTACCCATTTAGCTATGTTAAATATACGTCCACCAAACAGATATAGTATATAACTAAATGAAATAGTTTATGGAGAGTCAAATTACTCAAAGTTCATCCTTATCATTGACTGTTATTTTAGTCAGAAGATTAATGGAAAGTAGAAGGAACAGTGAACACTTCAGTCTTATTCTGGATATTTCAGTAAATTCCACAACTAATCACCTCATTATTTTATTAATAGCCGTTCGATTTGAAGATAGTTTCAATCACATTATATGCCGAAAGTTCCAGTGGGTTTGCTTCCGATGACTATAAGTATCGATAGGAATATATGATAGACAGATATAAATTGTAGACATGCGAGTAGAGCTTGATAGGGGCTGGCAATAGAATTCTGAACATGCACCTCTTCAATTTTAGAATTCATCATCTGGATGTATCTGCACCAGTGATAATATTCACCATTAGACTCGAACCTGTTGCCCCTAGCTTCAAGCGCCCAGCTCATGATATTAAAACTTTAAAGCTCATGACAGCAAAATTATCATAGGACTCCGCTAAGGATTTGAATATGCCAAAAGGAACTGTTCAATTGCAGAGTTTAAGATCAATAACAATAAAATTCAAGCCCTTCAAAATGAAAAATGAATAATTTGATATTAACTTGGTTTATATTATACTTTTTACCTACAACTTGAAAATCCGGGATTCGATCCCATACTGGGGATGCATTTTATTGTAGAAGCCTAAACTGAGACAACATAGCTATGGAGTGTTTCTGGCATTTCTTACTATCCTACTTAATGTCAACATTCTTCAACAAATTAACATTTTTATCTTTTACAGTTCTAATTAACTATTTATCACAAAAATAAACTAGTTTTGTAAGTAAAGATGAATGGTGGCTGGTGGTGGAATCCAGAACGCGTCATCTGAATGTACCTGCATCTCAGAGCTGATGTTCACTGTGGGACTCGAACCCAGTGCTGCTTGATTCAAATGCCAACGCGCTGTTCACTTAGCTACTGAGCCCTGATGCCCACTAGCTTGTGTAATAAAAGACTGAACAATTGCAGTTCTAAACATCAATATGAACATTCAAACAAACAATACAAAACTTCACCCCTTAGCGTGAAGCATTAGGTAGCTAATTTTGTATGGGACTCACTAGGAGTGTAAATCCATGAACCAAACAGCGACTGAACTCAAAATCTTTAGTCCTTTTGACGTGACGTTGACCTTTATACTAGTGATTTGGGATCCTTCTGTTTACGTTTATGGCTTTAGTTAGATTGCGATATTGCACTGGCATCATCTATTATCATTGTTGATACCCATTCGACGTCTGAAACTCCTGGAGATCTAGTTAGTAACTATGGTCAATAGAGTTCAACGAAGCAGGCCGTGAAAACAAAGTAGTTTTAAGACTACTGTTATACACAACACAGTAATATTATTAATTATAATTGGTTAATAGTTACCAATGAGTAGCTAAGGATTTTGACTTCACTATCTTTATCGTATGTACTGTCATTGAAGATTGAAACAGAAATACGGCACTAGAAGCTATTGTGTGATTATAATTAAGAGTAGTATAACATTTGTTCACTGGAGACTGGAAAATATTTCGTGGGAAATAATGAATATCTATTAGGTTGTAGATTCCTGCTTGCATTTTATTTTGTTAATTAGAAACTGTATTAGATAAATCTTCTGAGCAGACTAAACCATGTTTATAGTGGTAAGTAACTGAAGTTGAAAGGATGCCTAAGTTTATCGCAAATATTGTGAAATTTAAACCTGTTGAACGATTGTAACGTGACTAGTTAACTGAAGGTGATGAGTTAATTACTAATAACAACCTAGAATTTTATTTAACTTCAATTAATTTTCTGCCAAATATAAAACATCTGACCTTAAACGGATAAGCTTACTTATGGATAAATTGGTAGATATTTTCTATTTTAAAATTACGTTGAATCTATTCAATGATATATATACATGACCTAGCTAGCGAAAACAGGTTAGTTTTATTTACTTTTATTGATATGTTTCATTATTAAATTAAAAAACGAAGAATTAACAATTATTTCAAAGTCAAATAGTAACTTATTAAAACTTTGGCAATCATATTAATTTCTCTTAGTAATAAAGATAGATGATTAACGTAGGAAAATATTTTTTCTTGGCTTAATATAAATATTGGAAATTTTATTTCTTTCTGTTTTTTTGATGATACATGGTCAATGAATTGACTAATTGGACATTTCAATTTTTGTCAGTGAAATGTAAAGTCCCTACATTAATTTATTCATAATGATAAAAATCAGTAGTGATATTCTGACAGTGATAGATTTTATGATCCATCAAAATGGTGCAGATATATTTACTCTTTTTATACTGTTGTGTGATGCAGTAATTTAAATCTATGTAATTTAATTATACACTAATATTAATATTACCGGTTTTCTTATAATATTTTGATTTGATGTGGTGAAACTTCAATTTTTTCGCGAATTATGTTTCATTTACTGTCCTGTTGACTGTTTACAGCATTACAGTATGTATGTCAATCTTCAATGACATTGAAAGTTGATCACGATTGAGCTAATTTTGTTTAATATTTAAAAAGACAGAAATTTGTGTATTGTAACAAATACGTTCGATTCTCACATGAAGGCTTGTGCTTATGAGTCCTAATACTAATCACGATTGATCGATCACTGGGTGTCGATCAATGTCATGCGTGTCTAGTCCTTATTAGTGCAGATCGAATGCTATCGATCATGTTGCAGGAGGTCAGTCGCGGCTCGTATAGCTCAGTGGTAACGTCTCTGACTGTGAAGCTGGGTGACACGAGAACGGATCCACCAGGGAGCATCAGTTCCCTCAAGATTACAAGTACACCTTGCTGACGAGTGCCGAGTAGCACGAAAGCTGGGTCCAGGGTTTCCTGTCGACTACCTCCAACCACCATGTAGTCCTAGTACTAATCGGCCGTCCGGTACTTCTAGATTTTCAATAATGATTTAACTTAGATATGTTTGTTGGATTCAACCAATTTACATCATATGCTGACCTTTGTTAGATAACGATTAAGAACTACTATTCGATAGTTCCCCAGTCAAACTCATGTTCATATTTGTCTAGTTTAACCTAATAATATTTTGTAGTAAGATAGTGTCAAAACGTACAAATAGTTATCTTGTAGACTCTAGTAGACATTATTCATAAAAATTTCCTTAATTATATCATATAGTTGAAAAAAGCTTTTACGCTATAGCAACGTGAAAATCTCTGGTGTCTGAATCTCTTTTACAACAAATTAATTTTTATTTTAACGTTCAGTTACTTTGGCTAAGGTACAATCAATTGAATCGGTAAAAACTTTAGATAATATTCAGCGATTTATTAACATTAGCTTTTGGTATCTAGTTTATACTGCTTAGGTGTCCGAAACAAAACATGGCACCAGTACATACAGTTAACGAATGTTGATCTAAGCTATACTGGTAAATGATGAGTATTTGAATGAGGTTTGTGCGATAACTGTGATCAGCTGTTACAGATTTTGAATATCATGGCTCAAAATCGTTCACAATGATAAAGATTCGTTCACTTTTTACTTATCTTTTATTCTATCTCTAATTCTACTATTCCTTCATATATACCTTTCCACTCTATGTCTTCAAACTATATTTTCCTTGTTTATTGTTTCATATTGTCATGACTGCTATATTATTTGGATTTCTTCTACGATTCACCTTATTAATTTCATCATATTGAACAGTTTAATCCATCATATATGTATAGGTTTCCACATTGATGATTAGCTATAATACTTGACAGTTAAATTAATTATTTTTTGTATTACTGAATTGATATATGGTAAGAGTTATATTAAGTTTACTTTCATTTTCATTTTATAGAAAATTTTCTACTGGAGAAATTTCACATCAGTTATTACTTCGTAATACATTCTGTTCATGGTTTATAGTTTTCTTTTTTGTGTCTCATTTGAATACGGCATAGTTTCCATGATTATTAATACAAATATTTTCTCACTTCTTTTTTTAAAAAATTCAACTTTTTTTTCTTCTTACTAACGGAAACTAAAAATTATCCACGATTTAGAATGAAAATAATATTGTCAAATATGTAATCGCTTCATTGGATTTACCATTTGTAATTTTTTTCATTTTTTTGTGTATATATGTGTGCATGTGCGTGCGTGCACGCACGTGTGTGTGTGTGTGAATCACGGATACAGAATTTATAGTCATAAAAAGAATTTATAATTTTTTTCTCTATTTCACTTATTAAAAAGGCAATCGATTTTACACATGAAAAAATAAGTATATGAACGCTTCAATTATGGTCATTGAGTTTCATTATTTGAATTTATTCAATATTTCAATGGATAAATCAACTGGCGCATTAATT